AGCTATTGTTACTGGATATAATGTTTTAATAATAATAAAAAAAAAAATACTTTTCATAATAACCATTACTAAAAAATTTTTTTAATAAGTATTAGTTTTTACGGACAGATAACTACATAAAAAGTATAAAATGATGTACTTTGTATTCAATCTAGCGAAGTTCACAATATTCTTATCCGGTATAATAATCATTGTTATACTCTCAATACTCTTTAAATCTCACTGAATCGATAACGCAGTAATAATATAAGTAAAAAGAAAATTGTTTTTGCCTGAGGAAACGTATATCAATTTGATCGAATGGACCAATAATGAGATAGAGGAACAATTTAGCGTTGTATAATAATAAGCAATACTGTAGTTATGCAATAATATCGTATCTTAATGATTTATCGAAGTTCACTAGTTTTCTTCGAGCAAATTATTTCCAGGACGACGCTCTAATGACGATAAGACATAATAGGGAAAGTTGAATATATTTTTTGGCAAACGATTTACTATATTAGATAGCGACCTATATATCGTTGATGACAAGTATATTGTAGACAGTTTCATGAGATGCGTTATCTTTAGTCGTTCGATAATCATAAACGTTAAATATAAATTTATTAGGATACACACATATAAAAGAACCATGTATCAACATTTTTTTTTTGTTGAAATTTATATATAGTATATTTTTCCTACATGATAATTATATGTATGGAGCAGCAGGGGGAAAATAGATAAAAGAAAACAAAATAATATGAAAAATACTCATTAATTTGTTCCTTAAAAAATAAATTTTGCGATTTAATTCCTAGCAGAGGAAGTAACTTAAACTGCGACGAAGGAATTATGCGGAGATTCGTGATTATGGAATAGGAAATTATTCCCATGACACCAAAGCTCCGCATAGTCAAAGTAGTAGAAAGTGTCATAAATTTTGGAAAACGATCACACGGAGCGCTTCTATATAACGAGAAAAAAAGAAAAGCCGCGCATTCATGCCAGTTCCAAGAACAAAAATTCCCGATTGTTTTTTATCAAAATGTTGCTTTAGTATTCCGCCTGGGACACGCGCATTTTCTTCCGCAGAGATCATAACGGGATAGGTTCGTGGGATACGTTATTAAATGCATTAACGTGACTCTGAAAACATTACCGAGATAATAATGTTGTAATAAAGGGCCGCTGAGCGCGAAACTTCTCGGCGAGAGAACAATTAAATTAATTTCTCGATGTGATTTCTGATTGTGTAATGTGATTCGTGAACCGGGTCAAAGAAGGAAAAACTCTATTTATCCCACGCTGTTGACACAATGATTAGTTAAGCTATCGTTGTTTTTTACAGTCGTCGACAAACGATTCGCGTGAAATCATTATCCTGTATTAATCACGCAGATAGGATCGCGATATTGTATTGCGAACCGAATGTCAGGTATAAATACGATAAATTGGGAACGCGCAGTAAGCGTATTGAAAATGCGAAAATATACGGATGAATATTTTTTATTCATTTTTTCACGATACGTATTTATTTGTAAATAAAATCAAACTGTCCACTGAGTCAACAGAAATGACTATTATAATATATGAGCTTCAATGTAATTCTATTCAAAATTTTAATTAGTTCATATACTCCAACGTTTCAATACGTCCGACGTGAAAATAGATACTTGCACAAAAGAAGTAAAATTTTGGTCATCCTTTGATGACGCTAAAAATATTTTCCGATATATAACAACAATGAATGACGCGTGTTCTCCGCGCAAGTCCTGCCGCATACATAGATTAATCCTGCTTACGACACACACACACATACACCGCGACGTAATAGACAAAATCGTTTAAAAGCTATCCGCAGTGCCGTTTGTGGCAACCAATGAGCGTTCAACGGAGTGTTCGAAAACGAAAATGAATTGCGCAGTAATTTCATTAGAAATCGGAGAAATTCCGTGAAGAATAATGCGTAATTCTATATCGCGTTTATCGTATTAACGTTGAATAATGAAATTTACATACGGATAATGGACGGCCATTGAAATTGCTGGCACTGAAACGCACTGACGATACGATTTTTACAACACGAAGCATTTATCGCTTTGTGCGACCGATATTGTAAGTCAGCAGTTATGTCATGTTTATAGGGATACGTAAAACAAAAGTTACACGTGTGCTCACAATAAACGATATTAGATTTCGTGGTCAGGTAATGTATACCTCGATATATTTTCATGAAAATATAGCGGACCATTTATATTATAGACGCGAGACGACGAACCAATAATATTATTTAACGATCGAGTAAAATATCGTTATTGAGGCCGATATATGTTTGATCGATTGCGATTATGTATTCATGAGCACGTGTGGGGATGTCATGATTTTTCTATTTGCATTGTCAGCTCCGATGAAATGTAATAATGTAAATGTCAATCGCGCAGTTGCGCTTCTTTTGAGAATTTTTACTTTTCAATTTAAAGATATCACTTGCGTTTGTATTCATAGAGAAAATATGTGCGAAGATAGGAGAGATTCTTCTTATTTTTAGAATAAATCGTCATGAAAGTTAATTAACGATAAAAAACATTTTACCTCTGCTTAAATAGCTGTAACGCGGTTGATAGCACGACACTTGAAATCAGAATTTACTTTACAGTAAGGATATATGAAGTCGTCGTCATAACATCTCAGGAAACTTTTATAACAGCCAGACGGAATTTCTTGCCGAGAGAAGTATAATAACTTTTATCGCGCGAGAATAAAGAACCGCACTGAGACGTTATATAATCGAGCGTGATCTTAACATTTTATTTTATACATCTATAATCTCGTATCTCTAATTAATCATGCTTATACATATACGTATAGGCCGTTCATATTATTTTACACAACTAAACTTCGCGATAAATTTGTTTCGGCTTTTATCGTCTGCCATCGTGCGAATTAAACGTGTCGCGAGACTTATTAATGGCTCCATTAATTTGTGCAATTAATAATTGCATACAAGCCCGCAAATTTCACAATACCGCACGCATCGTCGCTTGCCTTGTCTATAGTTAGCAGTGTATAAAATATCACAGCACCCTATCGATAATCAAATGGTGATTTTGCGGCAGTGAACGCACACGTGCGTAGAAATCGTGCGACATAAAAAATGAAATGTCTTTTTCCATCGGCACATTATTATAGAGAGTACTATATATCAAGTAACATAGAGAAAAGAGAGAGAGAGAGAAAGAACTGGAAAATCGAAGATAATATAACGATTTGCTTTACAAATTGACCTAAGGTATTGCGAGCAAAAAAGTGCTGAAAATGCTTTAGCAAAAATATGAAAAATTTATTCCTCTTTTTCACGAATATCCAAAAATCAGTTATAAATAAATTACATATTTTTCTAAAGAATTTAACAATTTTTATAATTTCAGTAAAAGAATTTTTTTAAATTGATATGATTTGAATAATAATTATTTTGCTTTATAATGTTAAAGTGTTTTAGGTGATAAAGCTTTAACGATAAACAACATAAAAATTTCCATTTTCTCTTTTTTTTTGTACGTGTTTATTATTTCGCTTCTATCACACTTATTATGTTATATCGCGAAAAGATGGTAAAAACTGAGAGACGGTGATGCAAAATAAACCCGCTAAAACCACGCATTTAGCGTAATTGAAGCTTCACATAACACTAGTGCATCTTTGAACTCCTCTCTCTTTCACTATCTCTCTCTCTCTCTCTCTCTCTCTCTGGTTTAGTGACTCCAGGTTGTCACATAGAGGTATCAAACTTCGCTAAAGTATTTGGGTTCTCGTCACTCGATCCGTACCAAGAGGCAAAGCGTCATGTTAAAATCAAATGTCGATTTAAAGCATAATCTATAAATGTTACATGTCAATAAAAATGTTCTGTATGCTACGTATATTTAATTTATTTTTTTAATTATACAACGCGCACACATGATGATTTAATTGCAGCAAAATATTGAAAGGATAGCTTATTATCTTGTTTTCATTGATTATATTAAAAGACCAAATAACTAATTGCATATATGAATACATGTAAAGCAGAAAACACATTTTTATTGTTTTTTTATTTATTGGCAATTTTTTTGCTTTTTTTTAACTTTGCCTCTGCTTTAATTATAAACAGATGTAAAACGAAATTTTCATTAATTAATTAAAGAAAGATTATATGTATGTGTGGAAAGTTAGCAAAAAAATCGTAAAAAATCTGCATGCGGATATTATGTACATGTAAAATTTATAGTATTACAATGTGATTTTTGTCTCTCTTTCTCATTTTTTACGTTTATAAAATAATCCAAAGTTTTATACATTATATTAGGTAATTACATAATACAGATTCATATAATATTAATCAGAAGATAATTTTTCATAAAATTGTGACAGTTTTATTACACAAAAAATTCAGAACCCTAACTTGTATATAGCAATGTAAATCTGCGTTAGCCAAATCTATCGAATCTGATACATTCTCGTTTACATTAACGGACGATTAACGACAATTGCATTTAAACCCCAATGAATCTCGTGTCACACTCGGTCTACATTATCACTTTGCATTTCGACTGTCAACGTTTCGGTGGACACGTCATGTCACACATTTCACTGTGACATCTCGTTACAGAATTGACAAATAATTATTCTGCATAACAAATCTGATCATTTAATAAAATATCGCGCAGAATAAACATTTTTAATTTATTAATCCACTTAAATAATTAAATTTATAAATAAATTTATAAATAAAGTTTTTTTATTCAAAATTGATCTAACAATAAGATAAATAAATTTTGTCCTTGTCCATTGTTAATGTAAAACGCATGCAAAAAATTTTTACCCTCAAGATGATGATAGCATGATAATCAAAGTAAAGTTTCACTCGAAGTTTCAATGAGTTTCTTAACAATCTCGTGAAGTTTCGTCTGAGAATTATACGCGAGAGAGAATGAGAGACAAGATAGAAAAATACTCAAATTCAAATTACAACTCACCTGCGAGTTGTACGCTGACACGTAAGAGGAGAGTCCAACTTGTCGAAAAAGTCCGTCCAGAAAGGCGGGAAAAAACGACGCACGAATGCAAGCGATAACCTGCAGTTACAAACGTAGCGGGAAAAGTTTTGGCGAGATAGAAAGCGAAGAGTGTATAGCTGTCGAGACCGATCGTGCGATCTGTATGACGGACAGATGAAGCACAAAGTGCGCACCGCGAGCCCGAGCTTCTCCTCTTTATACCCTCGAACTTGCACCTGTCCTTGCGCAGATCGGCCTCTTAAGCTCCGTCCGCTGATTTCCTTCATCGGCCGGTCTCGCAGTCCCAGACTCCACGTGCACCAATAAGTCATCCATTATCCTGATTGCGTAGTATTTGTAAAATGATTGGGGACACGTGTATACATTAATGACGTATTTTAATTTTCTTTCGGGCAACGTGAACTTTTTTTTTATCGCAGAGTCCTCGTATAAAATCAAATTTTGAAAGAGTAACGAAGTTTTTCATATTCTATGCGGACCTCGAATCAATAATGTGATATGTTGATAAATAATAATATTGCAGCGGTAAAAAAATAGAGCATATTTTAAATTGATGTTTTTTTAATTAACGTTACTGCTTAAAGTATCCATATACTGAAAAAAATATTTGTTTTAACTTGACTAAACCTTTCAATTAAATTACTATTTTGTTAATGGAACATATATTAGTATTTAAATCAAACATACATTTTGTTAGATTTATATATTTTATATATAATTTAAATATTTTATATATTCAATTAGCAAAATAATATTTAGTTGAAAGGTTTAGTTAACAAATTTATTTTTTCGGTAATATGCATCGAATAATTTATAAAAAAGCCAGAAAATGAAAATCAACAGTGATGAAAATAATGGATCAAAATTCAGTTCCGTTAGCCTCATTCGCATATAAGCAGAACAATAATAATGCAATAGCAATCTGTTACATATACAATCAGTATTATATTAAAGAAATCAATACTATATTCAAATCAGAAAATTAAAAACAATACGTACATTATTCAAAATTTTAATTAAAACTTAATAAAAGGATACAATTGAAATCGAAATATAGAAAGATTTTAACTAAAATTTTATATTGTCATTTTATATTGAAATTAATGTCATGCATTTTAATTATTGCATATGATATTAAAAAATGAATGGAATTTTTTTTAAAAGATAGATCATACTTGTCGACGAATTGCTGAAATGCAAATACAAGTGACGAGATAAAATCTAAGTCAAGTCAAGATCTCGAATTGTTAGAAAGTCGCCGATGGTTGCTGAATCGGCATCTTAGGAACATCGAATGTAAAGAAATCGCGTATCAAATACTTGTAAGCTTTTCTCGATGTGTGACTCGTCAATTTATCACTTCTTTGCTAAATGCTGATACGACAAGCTCTTCAAATTCAATTGTTGCTACTTAACGTTTGACATAAATGAGGACATAGCCATATCATCTCTTAAACAATACAGAATATTTCTAATCACCTATTTACTGGATTTACTTTGCAAGAAATAATTGTATATCGGTAACTTTTCGAACAAATCTGACTCTGAAAGGAAGATAAATCTTTGGAGTGCCGTGTTTTTAATAAAAAATAAGGAATAAAGTGTGTATATTTCTTGCTTCGTCACGTATTATGAACGATAATCATCTTGAAATAGGCTTACGAGGTGAGGTGGATAGGAAGTACCTGCCTAGAGATTTATCCAGCTCTGTGATATCGCTTCTGACAGCGAAATTGCTTAAACCACAACTTTCCTTCATATATAATGTCACGCTTCGTGTAGCCTCTGCAACTATTGATGGCACTGCCAGCTCTTACTAAAGCTCACGCTATATTTCGGCCCTAATCATTATTTGCTTCTTATGGATCTTATGGAGCTATTATCTTTATCTTGATCGAGTGTTATTTTTAGATATATATTTCTCAGTAAATCCGTTTTAGATGCTTAAAATTGATGTGAGTAATTTCAAAATCAATGCGTTTATATGTAATATCTCTTTTGAGACGTAAATGAGCTTTAAATTGAAAAGCTATATATTTCTTTTATTTTAAATTTAATGCAGCATTTCTGATAATTATGCCTGATAATTATGAATAGATATTCAAAATTGAGTAAATCAAGAGAATCAAATATTATTGTAAATAATGCTTTTGTTACATTAATTATTATGGAAAAATTCAAAGTAGATAGCGTACAATTTTATCTCAACACGGTAACAATTCGTTGTCATCGATCGACGCTCCCTTTTAGACTGAACATCACCATCCCGCGGTAAAAGGATTTACATGAACAGAAAACTCAGAATGTACCGGTGACTGTAACATTATTATTCGTTTACAGTTATCGCAAGAGCTTGCGACTCTAAAAGTTTCGATAAGATTCTAAAGAGGACTTGGCCTTTATCGTGTTGTGATAGTATACAGAATTAGCTTTAGAATAGGGTAGGCTGATATTTAAATATTTTATTACATCATACGCAACAAAGTGATAATATTTTTAAATATATATGTTAATATATTTTGTTTTTCTGAAATATAATATTTAATAAAAAATATAATCACGAAATATAATTATTTGCTATATTTTTTATACATCAAATTTTCAGTTGATAATTGTTACAATTATTCAAAAATTAAGTGTTATAAGAATATATATATATATATATATATATATATATAACTATCTAATAACTCAATAGTTAATTTAAAAACAAGAGTATGTTCAGATTATTTTAAAAAATGTGTAATATTGTATATTTATATAATATCTTTAATGTATGTATATACAGGATAAAATATATATAACTCATTTATTAACAAATTTATAATTTATATATGTACACATAAACATGCTAATAAATGCGTTCCTTCCTTTTTTATGTATTAAAGATGAGATAGATATAAATGCATTGCTTACAAAGACGAGAAATAAATGGAAGAATAAAAAAGTATAAGAACAAAATAAAATTCCTTTTACTTTTAATTACAGATCAATTGAATGAAAATATTACTTATATATCGAATATTATTTTTAAATAATCTGAACACACTCCTTATTTTATTAGCTACTGAATTGTTATTATATTTATTATTAATCATAAAAATATTCTTACAATACTAATTTTTGAATCATTATAGCAGTTGTTATTCAACAATTTTACCTATAAAAAAATATAGCGAATAATTATATTTTGTGGTTATATTTATATTAAATAAGACTGACATTGCATATGAAAAAAGCATAAATTTTGCGATATATTGCAAATTTTTCACAGCGTTTGCACGCAGTAAAAGTGAACGCGAAAGTAAAAAACTACCTACGACTAAATGATGGTTATAAAAGCGCACGAATGTAACCTACTCTGTAACTAAGCTTTACATTTTACATTTTCGTTTATAAGTAATGCTTTATTTAACTCGTAATTTTTCTTTTGCGCATTTAATTAATTTTGATTTATTAATACAATGATATATTCTTGGATCGTTTCCTAATTTAATTATTAGAAATTTGTTAGAAATGCATTTTTCAGATACATTTTTAATAGTTTTTAATACATTTGGAGAAGAGCGATAATTTTACTGATTATATCAACATTTAAAAAATGATATATTGGATATTCACGAAAATATAATTTTCTTTGTTATAAAATATATCTAGAATAGTTACATGATCCGATAAAATAACTTTTGTGTACGTAAAGAATTATTTTAAGCATTTTCGATGTCCATCATCAACTATATATGCAAATTACCAATTTACTGATTGAAATAGCATTTGAAATACACTTTGAGGTCATCGTAATATTGTCAGACTTCGTTCTAATTAGTATTCACGCCATATTTCACCAGCTCACACGATACATTTGCAGATAATACAAGCGCTGCCGAAAGCTTTCGACACCGTTCTTCACTCTCCATATCTGATCTCGCATTTGTATTAGCGTATAATCGGAATAAGAAGGGGGACCGACATTAATATCGCAAACATGTAAAGAAGTGCAGAAGGGTTGCCATGAAAGACGTAATGTAAGATTTCGCCGAAAGGCGAAAGTATATGTCGCACTGCGATCCAAAAAATACGGCGATGACGATATGTAACATCTCGTTTAATTAATTGTCAGAAATGCTGTTAAATTACATCGAGTGGTAAACGAAAATTAATTAATAATATTGTCTAAGCTGACAGATATCAAACTTCTGATTGAATGTTTCTGACTGATTTGTATCAATCGATCGTTAATTCAATGTCAATTCTATGCAACCTATTATACATTTACATCTCTCTCTTTAACTAGTTTGATGACGCAAGTGGATGTTAATTATTAAAAAATTAAGTTTTCCTAGTTCTCTTGATAATAAATTTTTTAAAAGATACAATAACTTTATAATTTTTATTCTTATATATTTTTATGAAAAAAATATAAAGTTATAATGAATAAAAGTTATGATAGATAAAATTAATATAGAAATTTATATAGAATTCAAATTAATATAGAAATAAAATGATACGAAAGCGTAATTCAGGGTTGCCACAGACCTGGAAAACCGGGAAAACCGGGAAAAGTCATGGAATTTGAAATTAGTCAGGGAAAACCTGGAAAAGTCAGGGAAATATGTAAAAAAACCTGGAATTTTGAACTTATTTTAAATTATACTTTTATTTTAACGAATATTTTAATTTTTTAAATATATCTAACATTTATAATCTAATATGCTGGCAAGTTAAAAAATAAGTAAGATTTTCTCAATCAATATTGCAATTTATGTACTAGCCATGCATTATAGATATTAGTTTTAAAATATATATTAAAAATGTTACTTTTTGTAGAACTTAACGTAGAAAGTAAATATATTTACAAATGTCAAATTTATTATTATTTTAACATTAAAGATTGACACAAAAACAAATAAATTTTATTTTTCTTGAACTTAAATTAAACATTAAAATGTATCTTTTATTAAATGTTTTAATTCAATTGCTTTTTCTGTTATCCCTTATTTTTTGCTGCATTCTTTTTTTTAATGTTCCTTTTTTCTATTGTTTGAATTTACAGGATTATGTCATAATGTTAAACTTCCAAGTTTATGTTACTTTTAATAATATAAGCTATTTTTCCTACAATTCCTAGTTCCAAATTTAAGTTTACTGATATTGGTTATGGAAATTTTTTCATTATTGTC